CATGATCAAACAGATGCCACTTAACCAACCATCTCCCCTCCAAACAGAAACACAAAGATAAAAAGTGGGAAATCAATATCGGACATTAATATCGGCCCAGTTTTACACATCAGACTGATACCAATATTCTAAAAAAGGACAAATATTGGTCGATACCGATATGAATGCCGATATATCGTGCATCCCTAATTTTACCAGAAATGTAACATTGATTTGATAATTCATCACATTTGCTAAATATCAAGATATGTTTCAGATATTGGATTAAAAACCCAGAAATATTAATATTGCACAACTCAGATTTTGTATGAAAATGCAGCATGAACTAGGGTTGGGGCTGAAAGGGGCGGGACATGGGGTTGTACAGGTTGTGGCACGTTATTTCTCTCCATCGCCACTGAACTTCATTCAACTTTTGCCTCTTTTTGTTTTCTTCTTCCTGTAGATTTTTTGCCTCTTGTCAAATAGCTTTGGGCCTCGGTCAGAGAAGAGGTTGGAGGGTTTATGTTATTTTTTATATTTTTGGCTTGAAAGAGAAGGATGAGATTGACGCAGCAACAAGCATCAAATAAGACTGTCATGTTCAGAAAAAAAAAGTAGTGCATTTAATTGATCATAACTCTGGTTTTATTAGGCCCATCAGCTCAATTAAAAAACTGATGTATCTTTCAGGCTAGAGTGATTTAATGTGACTCAGCTCCAAAGGGTTAGAATACCATCATAACTGTTTTTAAATCCCATCACCATATTTTCATACKGAGATATACCCACCAAGCCTAACCTCTCTTCTGTCTCGATCTTCTGTCAGGGTGGTTCGGCATCCGTAAGGACTTCTGCCACTTCCTGTTGGAGCTCCTCCCCTTCCTCAGAGAATACGGCAATGTGTCATACGACCTGCAACGCAGCGAGGACCCCGAGGCCATCGAGGACCTCCCCGTCCCCGAGCCGCCGCCAAAGATCGCCCCCATGTTCCACAAAAAGACCGGCGTGGTGATCACGCAGAGCCCCGGGAAATACTTCATCCCGCCACCCAAACTCTGCATCGACATGCCCGACTAGCAGCGCGTCAGAGCTGGAGTGACTGCAGCCGGCGGGGCGATGACTTTTAAACCAATAAAGCCCAAASAGCAGAGGACACTGTGTTTACGTTACGTGCTGGCTCCTCACCTGAACTGTGCAGCAGCTCACCCAGCAGGGGGAACGCTTCAGAACCAACATGGTGATGGATCCAGACCCCTCGCGTTGGTTTCTCCAGCTGTTTTAAGACTTCCTAAATGTATCAAGAATGAAACCTTTAAACTGACGTATTGTTTCACCTGTTGGTGAGGTTACACTGTGTTGATTACTCCCTGTTATATTCATTTTGAAGATGAAGATCTTTGGGGGGGGGGGCTTTGACAGCACAAGTATCTGTGATTCTKGCTGATCTGATTTGCAGATTTATGTTTTTATGATGCTGAGACTCACACCAGAGCTGGATCTGTGCGGGGTGGACTCAGAACTGTTGGGTTTCAGGTTCTTGATGTCAAAGATGGACGGGTTTGTGATGGGGACCATTAGAGGGARTTGATGGAGATTGGAGTTCCCCTCTTGTTTTTGTTCCCACTTTTGACCATGCAAATAGCTGGAAAAGGGGGTGGAGCTAAATCAAAGATGATTAGTTTCTTTTTTCAGGTTAGTTTTTATACAATACTTGTCATTTTCCTGAGTAAGCCTGTAATCACTGAAGATTTGCTTAGAAAAAGTTGCCTTTAAAAAAAACTAAATTTTTGTTGCGCAAAATGATTCAGGTGTAAGTAGTTTCCAATGTTAATGCTTCCCAGTTCTACATTTCTCCTCGTGTTTKTTTAACATTGTTTTTTAAAGAAGTRATTTGAAGCATCCAGAATGATAACATCTGGAAATACTCAACATGACAGAAAATTAGTCTATKAAATCCTCACATGTCTGATAGGGATCCATTTAAAATTGATTACAGTAACGTACATCCAAGTATTGTTTTGAAATTAACCTGAAAAGTGACTAGGTGGAGAAAAAAAGCACTTTGTTACCTTGGTTCTAAACAAATCACCATAGGATTTTTTTTATTTTATTTTATATTTTAGTTTTTGTATTTCTTTTTTCCTTTTGTAAATATCAGCACTTGTTTTGGGACCAGAGGGTTGAAATAAAACCAGTCCTACACTCCTACTTTTTCTTCAAGCGTACGTGGAATCTGTACACAGTCGTTTTTCACATTCAATCAACTGTATGAAGTTGCAGCTATTAGATTTTGTCATCACATATWTTTGGCAGTACAACAGAAAAAGAAAATCACCTGATCCTACTGAAGGTAATATMTCACTGGGCTGTTTAGTTGGAGACTCAAAATTGTGAGGAAACTGCTGAGTCTCACTGAATTCTGAAAGTTTGTGTTTTGTGAGGCTACCTTTTGAAAATTATGACAGCGTATTAGGRCCACACAACGAAATTTAAAATTTTTTTATTACGAGAATAAAGTCAATATTACGACATTAAAGTTGTATAAAAATACAGTCACAATACGTTTAAAGTCGTAATATTACTAAAGTCACAATATGAGAAAAATTTCAAAAATATTCTAGCCTTTACATAAAAAGCCTGCAGTTATCACTGCATTAAAATGAGGAATGTTGAGCAACTTGTCAAGTTGTTCTTTAGTATTGCTTAAAATAAATAGTTAATCTTTTAGCACATTAGCATCAACTTATCAGTAGAGGGACTTGGAAATTTTGCAAACGACTCTAAACTGAAGCCATATTGTAATTAATGGATGCATTGACGGATTTAGTCACGTAGCTAATTTGGATGAAAGCATATTAATCTAACAGTGACCCAGGTCATCACTGATTATAAACACAGAGACATGGCTGTACACAGCAGGTGTGAGGAAAATAAGGAGGAAATGAAATAGACACGTCACGATTATGACATTTTTTCTCGTAATATTACGACTTTAAACTCGTAATATTATGATTTTTATGTCGTAATATTACGACTTCAATCTCGTAATATTACGACATTAATCTCATAATATTATGACTTTATTCTCATAAAATTATGACTTTAATCTCATAATAATAATAAAAAAAACCTCGTCGTGTGGCCCTAGTGSTCCGTCGTAGAAAACAGCTGCATCATTTCAGAAGCACACTTTCCCCTGCCCRCATTGTGGTTTATGGTATAATTTMAAGAGGGGATTATGCAAAATRGACTTTTTTGAGCTTTATATCATGTTATAATGTCAKTCCCTCATCAAACTCATACGCAGAATGTTGCTTTGACTCATCCATGCATGGTTGAGAAATCCTCTCCTGTGGTAGGCATGTGGAGCTGCATAAACACTTGCTGGTACAAAGCACCACCTATCTACACARAGCTCCTCCCTGGAGCTCAGACTGCAGCCGAGCTCCTGCCCCACAGAGCACCCCTCCTCTGAAGAGTTGTTGTGAAGATGTGTTGAAGTGGGAGTGTCTGAAACGGAAGGAGGTTCTTAAAGAGACAGAGGCCAATCTACWGGAGTACACTTTTTAAATGACGATTTGAACATTTGTTTATCATTGGTGTGGTTTGTAGACATTCAGGACTGTAGCCCCCAATGRCCCAATTCTGGCCCACACAATGCAGTGACACTCTTAACACTTGGCCCAGATACCGCAAAGCATGATGGCCCTATGGTAGTCCAGATGTGGTTTGCCAGAGGTGRTCCACATAAATCAAACTGCAGTTGTGGCATGCCATCAAACAGTGCCATCATTGCCAGAACTGGCCCACGTCCAGTTGACAAACCACTTACCATGCATGTTTGTGCCAGCTTGACACAAGATCTGGCCCTCACCATGTGGGGTACCCRGGAGTACACTCAGGATGGGCTATGGATGTCCATGACAGCAGGCCTTTTGAGGGCCACCAAAATGCTCMTGTGGCCCTCAAATCTGACATCCCTGCTCTAAATGATCACATCAAGCCACATGTATAACACTAATTTTTTTCCATGATTTTGTCAGGTTTACAGCTGTAGTCGAGGTAATTTAACACTTTGACTTTTTTAATTTTTTTAGAAGTCCAGATCTCAAGAAGTAACTAATTTCATCAATTTCTTTTGGTGTTTTTATCCGTTTGATCTGTTTAGAAGTGGAATATCCCTGACAAAATCAATTAATTTTGCTGGACGAAAACAATATTTTTGCTTTTATTGAGCTATTGTATTTGTTATTCTTTCGTATTTTGTCCATTCATCCATTATCTATACCCGCTTCTTCCTTTCAGGGTCACAGGGGTCACTGGTGCCCATATCCAGAAGTCACTGCGAGGGGCGGGGTCGCAAGTCCATCACAGGGCTGAGGTATATTTTAATCTGTAGAAAAATCTCCTAAAGGTAATTAAAAAAAATAGTACCCGCTGCAACAGGGAGATACATTTACAATGTCAGATACAAANTGTGGCCCTCAAATCTGACATCCCTGCTCTAAATGATCACATCAAGCCACATGTATAACACTAATTTTTTTCCATGATTTTGTCAGGTTTACAGCTGTAGTCGAGGTAATTTAACACTTTGACTTTTTTAATTTTTTTAGAAGTCCAGATCTCAAGAAGTAACTAATTTCATCAATTTCTTTTGGTGTTTTTATCCGTTTGATCTGTTTAGAAGTGGAATATCCCTGACAAAATCAATTAATTTTGCTGGACGAAAACAATATTTTTGCTTTTATTGAGCTATTGTATTTGTTATTCTTTCGTATTTTGTCCATTCATCCATTATCTATACCCGCTTCTTCCTTTCAGGGTCACAGGGGTCACTGGTGCCCATATCCAGAAGTCACTGCGAGGGGCGGGGTCGCAAGTCCATCACAGGGCTGRGGTATATTTTAATCTGTAGAAAAATCTCCTAAAGGTAATTAAAAAAAATAGTACCCGCTGCAACAGGGAGATACATTTACAATGTCAGATACAAAATGAATGCTCTACTCTGTTTGCCTCCTTTTATAGCAGATCATCCAGAGTATGACTTTTCTTTAACAGAAGAGGCGAGGTGGCTGACTTTCTACTGTATGTAACASGTACCCCAGAACTGGTTTGAGATGATGCCTCTCTGCTCTGTGGTACACAGTTTACATAGATAAGCTGTTTMTTTTACATAACAATAAATACCAGAGTTCTACTTGGTTTAGTACCTTTTTGTTACACAGAGGTAAATATTTTCAAATTGAACAGATGATTTTATACTTTGCACTTCAATTTTCAATAATTGTTTTCTACCACTTTAAATCACCCATATAAAATCTACACTGCATTATTTTTTAAACTCATACTGTTTCCAATTAATATAAAACAAATATCTGCAATATTCACTAAAGTAGATCACAGCCTGRGTGCAACTGAAATTTTCCTTTTCTGCAAAGGGGAGCCTTAAAGAAAGTTTGAGAAGCTCTAGTTAAGGGTTGAAATGTGAAAAAAAAACAACAACAGAATTTTACACAAAAACATTGTATTTGTCAGTTTGGTTTAATAATTTTAATAAATGGAGACACAGCTTAGRTATTATTGCATGTTTAATAATCCAAGCACATTTTTGTTATGTTATAAACTTCAGGAGCTAATTATGATGTCATTCATTCACTTAGTTTTTTTTAATCAGTGTCTACATTTTATTCACTTGTTATTTATAAACAGTAAAAAGATAGCTTACATTTGATCTTTAAAAACACAAACTGTTTTCACTATAGAGCACATGSTGTAGATTAATAAGGAAATTATTTTCAATAATTGCATCATCAGGCTGCATTAATTTGCAAAAATTAAAGAGGCACTAATATTTTCTGAACCAAATGTAAATTCTAATTGTATTATAATAGATGACCAGTGGTGGGCAGCACTAATCTAAAAATTAGTTCCACTAGCCCTAAAACATTAACTCAAATATTTAGATCCCCTAATTCTAAAGCACTAATGCACTGAAAGTTTTAGCAAAAGCTAATTCTAAAGCACTAATAACCCAGTCAACACATGAACATGAGACATATCACCATGTTGCTCTCTTAATAC